ATGGTTCTGTCTTTCTCTTTGTTAGGGGTCCCGTTTTGGCTGGCATAAAAAAGGGCAACCAACAGGAAAGCCACTTCTTTTTTTTGGCGAGGGGGGGGCCTAAAAGAGACACACCCAGATGGTATGGTTCTGGATTCCGGCATATATTTGTGTGGCGAGCTTGGCAGGAAATGAGCTTACCTTAAGGTTTTTTTTGGGCATTCCTCGAGGGCATTCCTTGAGGGCAGCAGTTGTTTTTTTGTAGGTCCCCCAGTAGTGCTCTTTTACCCTTTTTTGGGGAGGGTTCCCCGACTAAAGTAGACTACAGAGAAAAGTTGGTACCCTTATTCTAACCTCTCTACTGGAGGACCTAGTTTTGAAACCAGACCGGGACTCAGATGGGTAGCGGCCCCCAGACAGGATCGCTGGATTGCAAGTTCATTCCAAGCCTTTGGCATGTCCTTTTCTTCTGACTGAAGGGAACCGCCCGAAAGAACTCGAACTCGATTTCAAGCGCCCGAAAAGCCACCATATTTGTCCAATCGTTTCCCGAAAGGGAAGTCGGAAGCCACAATGGGCCTCCCACCGCGGATGCTTACCTGCAAGATTCCGGGGTTTGTCGTGCAACTTGAGCCACACGTCCCGCGTAACACGAACAAAACACCCGCAGTTTGGTTTCCCTGACGGAACCACAAGTGTACGCCTAGTTGAAATAGTCTTGGTATTGGGTCCTCCAGCTTCTCTTTTCCAGCCGACTTTCTAAATGCATGACCGGGTTTTCGGAGCAACCCTGATGCCGTAGACGTGCTATGAACCCCGATCGGTCTCCATGTTGACAGCCATCGGGGGGGGGGGGGGCCTGGTGGACAGGATGATTGGTCCACTCGTGGTGCTTTTGATCGAAAGCTTTGACACAACATGGCGAATGTTCCCCCACGACCAAAACCATGTTAGTGGAAAATGAGGTTCTAGCCCCACTGATACCCAGAGAACGCCCCTTTAAAGTGACAGAATAGTCATAAGGAACCATGTATGTGGGAAATTGGGCTCTAGCCCCGCTTTCTGTGATACCAAGAGACCTCCTTTCAAGTGAACCCTCCTTCAAAGTGACAAAGTAGTCATAAGGATTGTTCCCACTTTGTCACAGAAAGGGGGCCATTTTCCACTGAGCAATCGTTACCCCCCCACTAACTAACATGGAAGTGCACACACCCCCTTTCCAAGAGGAACGTAGTCTTCTACAGGGGTCTGTGCACCAAACCACGTTAGTCGGTGGGAGGGTAAGCCTTTAGCAGAGCACCCACTTTTACAACGCACTGAATCCTGAGAGCCTCCTCGTCCTCCCCTCTGCGATGGGACCGATGGGATGCCTTTTGGAAGATGGGATCGGGATGACCCATTGGCCGTTGTGGGTCATATGCTTGCTTTCATTTGGTACAACGCATGCATCGACATAGCTCAGTTGGCTACAGAGCCAGCAGTCAGTCGTAGGCATGCCGCTACAGGCTCTGAGCATCATGGGCCCCGAGAAACACCAGATCACCCACTCAGGAGATCAGTTTGATTGACACGAAGGGCACATTGGAAGCAGACATGCACCCCCACCCCCACCACAGAAAACAACATGGCAAAGCACGGTCACCCCCTTCCCCACCCCCCCGGCCAAAACACCACACACAGATGCAAACACATGATGTCAACATGGGTTTTCTATTTGGTTGCCCTGTTTCTGGAGAAGGTTCCTTGTAGATCTTTGCTTGGGGATCCTTGGGGTTCCGGAAGGAGAGTGGGGGATCAGCTTGTGCGGTTTGCAACTTGTGGCTTTCTTTTCTACCCCCCCCCCCCCCCCTGTTTCACCACTATCAAAGTCGCCCGAGTGGTAGGTTAAAGCGCCCCCCAGTTGATACTGACTACAAAGTTTGGCAAAAAACAAACGATCCCACAGCCGTGAAGGTCGCTTGGGGATATTTAAAGGTCGGTAGGAAACTAATCTTCAGGACCCTCCAGGGTTCCATCTCTTATCAACCCTGGGATTTTGGACCACCATGCCACCGAAATTGTTTTGAAGGAACATGAAGGAACCGTTCCCGCAGTTCAATTTAAGTTGTTTCCTACGAATTAGGATTCGGCAGCCCTCCATTTTGACAAACCCAAATTCCGGCTGGATCTCGGCAATATGGCTGTGGGTCAAAACCTATGGTACCATTTTGGGGTAGGTGCACCACCCATTTCAGCTTATTTTAGTGGGGATTGGGATGTTCACAGGGAGTACGGGATTTGACCCACGGCCATATTATGGTTTCTGGGGAAATTTGTTTACGAGGATTCGCGAGCAAGACAAGGTCAGGTATGATGAATGTCACGATCGAAGAACTGGCGAGGTGAAGTTATTTCCAATTTCTGAATCTCGCAATTTTCAACCACACATTTTCTAGGTAACCCTAAGTTGGTGTTTGCATTGGTGGTCTAACAGAGGATTTGAGCCCCTGGTTCTGAAACCCCCTCCTTGACCACCAAACCACCAAACTCCAAATCACCAGTGAATTAGCGGGAAGCTGAGCATTTTCGTGCTGATCCGCTAGGGAATGAGAATTGGAATGTCCGGACGAAAAACCCATCCATCCGATTTGGTGTCCTTTATGCGGGAATCCCCAAAACGGGTTCGTTCGAATCCAACACGCGGACTCGTTGTTGTTATTCCCTATCGCAGCAATCCGAGGTGTGGAGCCATCGGCCAGGGCCGGGCTTGCCGCAAGTTTTGCGAGTCGCAAGACCAAGCGCCTCATTTCCGGAGATCCGTTTCAGACTTTAGTCACTTGTTGGGTTTGGACCATTTTGGTAAATAGGAATTCTTGCTATACTTCTTGTTTTTGACCAATCCACTCGTTCGGAAGTGAGATGCTTTTTACTCAGATTCTTCTCCCATACTATGGAAGCTAGTTATCCCTTTGGCCTTGATTCAATTTACAGTCTTTAGCTTCTGAGAGAGCAGCATGTGTGTATTTGTGAGGCGAGAGGTAGCTAGGTCCCCCAGCTCGGTGCCCTTTCTCACCAACTTTTTTAGTTAAGATTTTCCCCTACCAAAATAGACAAAGCAGAACAAGCCCAAAAATCAAACCTCTCTACTGGAGGACCTAGGTAGTGAAGCGACACCATTGTTATGTTGGGACCCGAAGCCAATCCTCGAGACATCGTCTTAGGGATCGGCCGCTGAAGGCACCTACTGGGTGCCTTGGCTTTTGTTTTGTTTAGAATTTGGACCCCCAAAGGGCTTCTGTAAAAAAAAAGGGGCACTCCGAAGAAGAAAAAACAAAAAGCCACCAAAAAAGGGGGCACCCCCAAAAAAGAGACAATAGTGCTTTTAACAACCTACCAAAAAAGGGGTACCTCCAAAGGGGGGGTTTTGCAGGAAAGCCAGGCCATGCTGGCTCGGCTCCAACTTGGAGCCGGTTCTTTTGGGCTACAGCAGCTAGGTCCCCCAGTAGTGCCCTTTACCCTTTTTTTGGTAGCCAGGAGCTAAGGAGCTACCAGGAGTTCTGTAGCTAGGTCCCCCGGCTAGGTGCCCTTTCTCACCCTTTTTTGGTTGGGAGGGTTCCCCTAAGAAAAAAGTTGGTACCCTTATTCTGACCCTCGCAAAACTGGAGGACCTAGGGCAATCCAGAAATCTTCAGTTTTCTGGGCATTTTGACGGGGTGGGGAAGTGGCCGGTGATCAATTCATTGCCCCAATGCGAACCTTCGGCATACGTGGCCGGAGATTGTCCGCGGGGTTCCCTCGAAACCAAACCAGCCAAGAAAGATCCATCGGTAGATGTTCGCAGGGGCATTCCCCTTAGGTTTGGTTCTTTGCCCCAAATAAGCTTTGGGGTGAGTCGGAGCAGCTAGGGAGGGTTCCAGAGGGTTGTGGGGCTGTTGGGGATACCCCTCGGGCTTATTTTTGGGGGCGGTTGTGCCATCGAGCGTTCCTCTAGTTGGCGAGTCTTAAGAAGGAACCACCTCAACAGTCGTGAGTAGCCGGCACCCGCTTTCGGGAAGATCTCATGGTATCCTCACGGTATACTCACTCTCATGAAAGGTGGTCGCTCTTATTACTAGTTGATTTCTGTTAGACAAATCCATTTCGCGCCAGTTGGTGTTTCTTTTTTTGTCACCCACAAAATGTGGTCTCCCTTATTTTAGATATTACTGTTAGGCAAATCCATTTTTCGCCATGTTTTTTCCAATGGGGTTTCATCCATTGGTGTCGATGGCAGGCTGCCTGGCTCCGGGGATCCTTCTGCAACCCCTGGCGCCTCACCAACGCGCCCGGGCCCATGCGACTTACTCAGTTCGCGGGTGACCCAAAGGGATTTGTTTGTTTGGTAACCTTTTTGGGGCTGAAACCGGGGGTTTTTGGGCTGCATCCTCAAGTCCACTTGGACCCATTAATCTGGGTGAATTTCTAACGACCTCACACGACCGAATTCACCCCAAATGGTTTGTGTGGGGAATAGCCCCCAAACCACCGCAAGTTTCAGCCTGGTGAAATACTATAATTCACCCAGATGTGTGTTGTTCACAAAGCGACTGATGAGAACCGGACGTGCCATGGTGAACCACTTGTTACATCAGGTATCTTGGTATCTCAATGGATCGCAATTGAAGTCACGCTCCATGTTTGCAAATTGCCGTCTCGAAAAGGTTGACCCCTGAACCCGGATGTATATCCCTCCTAGGTATTGGAGGTGTGGGGGTGTGGGGGCTTGCTCCTGTGGAACGAAGAGGCTCACAGGCCAACGGCTCGGTTTTGGTCACTTCTGGGGAGGAATCCAATTAGCACAGTCAGCTGCAACTTTAAGCTTGGACGATCAGAAGAGAGACCGGAATCCATTTGCCTTGGTGGCTCCCAGCCGTCCCCTTAGCTTTCTAGATCCTTTTATTGTTTAGTTGTAGTTTCCATTTAACCCCTTTTAGCGGGGGATCTGAGGGCAGCCCAGTTACATCCATTCACTTAGCCACACAGCCGATTGTTCAGCTTGTTCCGGCCGGTGAGCTGAAAGAAGTGCCGAGCTCTTTTTTTTGCTGCGGGCGGGGGCCCGCGAGGGCATGCGCCATGACTCATTCCGCAAGCCGCAGAGTCCTGGCAGTGAAACCATGAGGGAAGGAACCTGAAGGAAGTTGAAACGGTTCGATGCTCGCCCAAGCTTGAAGAAACATTGTTGGGCTTGGTTGTCCTGGAGGCCGAGAACAAGTGGCCATGGACTCAGTTTCTTGTTTAAATTTGCGTTGTCTTTTTTTGTTTTCTTTCAAAAAGCACGCCTGGCATGCCTTTTTTTGCTGGGAGTTAGAACTCCTGCTCCCTAGTTCTTGCCAGGTACCGCATGGGGCTTGACCTGTGCCGTTAAGCGCCCTGAGACCTTTGCGGGTTGGAACCCTTCAGCGATAGCCGGCTAGGTGTGCGCTCTTTTACCCCTCTTTTGGTTGGGAGGGCTGCCCTACTAAAATAGACGTCCTGAAAAAGTTGGTAGCCTTATTCTAACCTCTCAAAAAACTGGAGGACCTAGTAGCTGTAATCATTAGGTTCTTGGTGTTGCGGTTGCTGCTGTCGTCGTCGCTGCCGTCGTCGTCGCTTGCTCTGTTCCCATGTCATGTCGGCAACCCAGGCTTGGAGTCAGACTAATTGCGCTGGACGCTGCTTCAAACATTGACCGTTGCAAACGGGAGGAATGGCTATGAAGTTTAACAGGGAACCCCCTCCAAAGTTGTTGGTACATGGATCCCCAAATTCTGATGTCCACCAAAGGGTCCCTTCTTGAAATTCATACCCGTATCTGCATGTGAGAGGGACCGGGGTTCCGTTTTTTGACTAATGAAGTTTAATAGGGAACCCCCTCCAAAGTGGTTGGTGGACATGGATCCCCGAATTCTGATGTCCACCAAAGGGTCCCTTCTTGAAATTCATACCCGTGTCTGCATGTGAGAGGGACCAGGGTTCCGTTTTTTTACTACCCCAAAGTCGACTTAATTTGAGGGGTGGTTGATTTCCCCAAAAGGGAAACCCCTGGGTTTCAGTCGACTTTGGAGTGCTCAAAAAACGGAACCCTGAGAGGGACGAGTACCGGAGAGCCGAGCGCCGGCCACTTGGAAGTCGCGAGGAAAGGCGGCGCTGCTTTGGCTCAGCACTCTCGCCTTGCCAAGCTTCCTGCCGGATCCATTTCACGCCATGTCCTACGCGAAGGTGGTGAACCCTTTTGGCGTGGCTCTGTTCCAGTGCCCCGACTGGCGACAACCAAGTTCTTCCCAAGTTCCCACATCGAAGCCGCCTAGCCAACAGGCAAAAAGGAGTGGTTTTGTTGAGGCCACCCTTTGGACGGGACATTTCGAGGCGAACCGCGATGTCTTGGGTGCCCACTATTGCCGTACCCAAATATGGCCAACGTTTCAGAATGATCCACTGGAAGTGGTTGTCTCCTGCTTGTTTTTTGCTTTCAATTGGGAGGTCTTTGAACCAGGCCATGTCTTTGGGGCCGGAGCCCTGCACCCTCCAAATTTACTTTTACACATTGCCTGCCTGTGGTCAACCCAGGTGAGTCACAATCAAACAAAAAAGAAGGGTAAGTCAAGGTTAGTACATGGTTGTTGTTGGGAAACATTTTACATTTTTGCTTATTGTGGTTTAGTGAAAAATCCCCACTGAACTGCTACAATTTAAATTTGTTGCTCCCCTTCCAACGTCAACCAGTCAAGGTTAGTAAGCTACAGTCCCACCCAGGTACCTGGCAAAGAAGGAGGTGGAGAATGTGCTGATCTCACCTATGTCAATCTCGGTCTGCTTGTCTATGGTGGCAGCTGGTGCGACTGAGGGCTCCGGCATCTTGTCTGCCAGGTGGCTCCCAGCCATCCAGTTCCTTAGCTTTTTAGACTTTTGGTGTTTAGTGGTAGTTTCCATTTAACCCACTAAAAGTTCTCAACTTTTTGCGGGGGATCTGAGGGCAGCCCAGTTTCTCTTCCGCTTTGATATTATTTGGATGTTCCACCCCTCATGTTTTCTTTGTTGCTGGCAGTTTGTGGCACTTGTGTGGCTTATGTGCTGAGAGGCGTGCGCCAACCAACAGTTCCAAACCGCCCGAATTTGCCCTGGGAAAAAGAAGAAACAACACAGTTTGCGCGATGTTTTTGTTCTGGGCCGCCAAGATCATATTGTTTGTGTGTTGCATGACTGTCTCTTTGTCTGCCTGTCTCTCTGTCTCTTTGTTTCTCCGCATGGATGACTGCCTGCCTGCCTGCCTGCCTGCCTGCCTGCCTGCCTGCCTGCCCTCCTGCCTGCCTGCCTGCCCTCCTGCCTGCCTGCCTGCTGTTACCTCTTTGTAGTTATTTAAAGTTTGTTTTCGTCATGCCTGATTTTCCATGTTTTGTTCATTCTGGTTTTGTGCGTGTATGTGTTGCTGTTTTTCATTGTGTCCATTCTTCTTTGTTACTGCTGGTGGCTGAGTTGGTTGGTTGGTTGCTTGCTTGCTTGGTTTCTGTTTGCATGCGTGATTGT